TGGGTCATGCAGCTATCTAGCGTGTTATTATTACAAACAGCAACCTAAACATAACGCTAATGTATATACCGGTAGGGCTTAAAGTATTCTGGCACCGTGCCGGCGTATGGCTGAGACTGAGGCTCATACAGATCAGATTCCTGCTCTTAAATGTGCGGTGGAGAAGTTTTTGGTTTAGAAGTGATTTTTGTAGAGACAGTCACAGTAGAAATGCCGCTAGCTGGCAGCTAAAAACACCGCACAGCTGACCGGAGAAACATAATATGACAGAGAGCTGTACCTGTGTGAGCTGACCAATCATAGCAGACTGGGCTTATCTGGGGGGGGGGCCTTAAGGAGGACTGGAGATATTCAAAGTGTTTCGGGCAGAGGGTGAATGTCTCAGCTGCTTTTTACTCAAACACATAAGTTGTAATTATAGTGTTGCAGTATTGTTCACAGTTGTGTTGAAAGCTATTGCACTGTTACTGTTTACGTAAAGTATTTTCACATATAGTATTTGAAAATAAATGGTGCAAAGCACATGCTGTTGTTGAAGAGAAGTGAATCTGTGCACTTCAGGCTCAGGATTTCTTTTTTTACTTTAACCCCTGTACCAGTATCCATATATAATTAACCCATTTAAACACAGCATGAGTTTAACATGGAGCTATCTTCTTCATTTTTCAGCATGTACTGCCAGACAGAAAAACATTTGCCAAAGATTTGGATAAGGCAGATGCTGTCATGGAAAAGGAGCTGAAGAAAACACTGGATGCCCAGCAGTATGTATCAACAACAGCAGACATATGGAGTGCCAACAACAAAAGTTTCATGGGGGTGACTGTGCACTGGATCGATGCAGATGCCTTGACATGAAAGAAGGCTGCGATAGCTTGTAAAAGATTTAGGGGTCGACACACATACGACGCAATTACAACAGAGCTAGAGGACATTTTTTCTCAATATGGACTGACCAACGATAAAGTGACTGCATGTGTGACGGACAATGGGAGTAACTTTGTGAAGGCGTTCAAGGAGCATCAGCAGCAGCAAGTGGAGTCCGAGGAGGAGGTGGAGGGTGATGGCGAGGTGGAGTTCACAGACCTTCACAGTGTGCTTACTGCCGATGATGATACTCAGCATGGGCTATGTGTACTGCCTCCCCACCATAGATGCGCAGCCCAAACACTTAATCTAATTGCGAACAATGAGGTTGTTAATTGGCTGGTATCTAATCCAGAATCTAGGGCTGTGTATCGTAGTGCTACAGCCAAATGTTCAGCGCTGTGGACAAAGGCCAGACGCTCCACAGTCGCATCAGAGTGCCTGGAAGAGGTCAGTGATAGGAAGTTGATTGTCCCCACAGTAACACGGTGGAACTCATTCTATAACGCCTATGCTCGGATCACAGAAATGCCCCTGACTGACATCAATAGCCTCTGCACACAGCTTCAGATTAAATGTATGAACGACAGGGAATACCAGTTTCTCAAGGAATGTTGTGCCATTATGAAGCCTTTCACAGTCGCACTGGACATCCTACAGGGTGAGGACACTTGTTTTTATGGAACGCTTCAACCAACGCTAGAAGTTCTGATGGCCAAAACCTTAGTAATGAAAAATGGCCTATCACAAATGACCACTGGGCTGCCTGAGGTTATTGTGGGAGCAATCAAAACTCGATTTGCCACCACAATTGATTCCAAGGATGCACTTCTGGCTGCTGTCTCCCTGCCAAAGTTCAAGCTGCGCTGGGTAAAAGAAGAAGCCAGAAGAGACCACATCAAGTTCCTCCTCACAACGGAGTGCCGCTCCCTAACAACAGAAGAGCCTACAGCCCTGATGCCCGATGCCCCTCAACCTGCTGCTACCAGCGAGGATGACTTTTTTTCCTTTGATGTACAGCCCAATGCCACGGCTGATGTGCCCATGTCAGTGGAAACAGAGGTAAGTAGGCTATGGAAAGGTCCAGGCCATAAGTGCCTTTATAGTTCAGTTAATTTTACCAGCCTTCTTTGGCTGTATGCTACCTCTGTTGTATAGGCTATTTGGCTGTAACAGGTTTCCTGTTTAGCCTTCATTTTTTATTTTCAATTTTCTTATGTGTGTTTGATTTATTTTTAGTATTCTTGAAAAATGTGGTCATCAGCTAGAGTTCTAGCTATAAGTTATTTAATTTTACCAGCCTTTGTTTGGTAGCCTATGTATTAGCCATTTCTTGGCAAATTGGCCTTTGTTTTATTGATAAGCAGTTGATAAGCAACTCAAAAGTAGTGTAACACATTACAATTCAGAGACAGAATATTGTAATGTAACTAATTACTTTTAAATGACAGTAACTACTAATATATAATGTGTTACATTTTGGAAGTAACTTGCCTAACACTGCCCAGCAATCATCACAGCATATTTGGATATGACGAAAATATCAAATGAAATATTAAATTATTCATTTAATGGAATTGTTTTATATAGTCTGTTTATAGTTTATGTAGAATAAGAACATCATTTTGTTCTAGACTGTTACTGACTATAACACTCAAAAGAAAACCATGATGGAGATCGGTCTGCCTCTTCAAGTCACTATATAGCGAATGGCACCATTGAATTGTTAACATGTGCTTCTCTGGACTCAAATGTATCTCTGACAAAACGGTTTAATTAACATTCATGAAGTCAGAATCTAGAGGGGGTCCACTCCTCCTCTTCCTCCAGGTTCTTCAAACTGGTTTGTGTATGTTTAGTGTTTTCCTCACACCAACAGCTCTCTGCACTCATTCTTATGATGCATTCATCACTGATCTACCTGACAGTGTTTTTTAAGTTTACAGTTTTGTTAAATGTATCACTCTCTTCATGTCCCCTATTTTTTTTTAAAGCAGGATCTGCCGTCATTTCCTGTTGTGTGTTTTTACTCCACTAGATGTCACAGTGGTTGAAGCAGCCGTGAGGTTAGCGCGTCACCATGATATTCCTGCACTTACTCTGACTAACCAAAGGGTGGTGCTCTTTCTCCTTAATGAGTCCTGTCAGCATCAGCAGCAAACACAGACATCTTCCATCTGATCAAGAATTCGTTTTCAATTTGAGTTTCTCTGAAGTCTGCATTCTGTCAAATAAAAAAATGAAGTTTATTTGTGACTTTATGCCTCTGGACTCTCTTCTGTTACACCTCTATCTCAGTGGAAAACTTCTTGCAGACTCAGCGAGAATTGAAATCCAGCAGAGGGAGGGAGAGGAGTCGATGAGTTCATACAGCAGCAGATATGTTTCTGTTCTCAGAGGTTATCAGGACTTATAAAACAATAGATGATCAAACACAGCAGACGAGCTCTGTGGGTTTCCTCTTTGCAGCCTCCTCCTCACCGTTATCTGAGGTTTTTCACATTAATAACACAACGACCGTTACAACCTTTGAATGTGGTTTAATAATTGTTCCAGGAACTTTAGTTTGTGCTGAAAACTTTCTCATGTCTAATCGTTGGTATTAATCTGTGAGAGAAAAACTGTTTATATAATGAACTCGGAAACTGAGACACTGATAATGTGAAACTTCTCTAATAAGCTCTGATACTTTTCAAAAATAAGATCACATTTAATCTTTAATGGAGTGAGCTGTTGGTGTAAAAATAAACAGAAGAGAAGGAGGTAGGAGGAGGGAAAAAAAAGAGAAGAATGACATTAAAAATAAGAAATCTTAACAATAATAATAAAAAAATGTATATCCACTTTAAAATATTTAGCTGATAAATACTGAAACCTGATGTAAGTCAGGAATTCTCATTTCCAAGATGTTTAAAAGGAACGATAACAGCAGACAGTATTGTCCTGTCTACAAAGTAAAAGGAGCCGTTCATTTAAAAGAAAACCCAAAATGTTTTTGTTTTTTTTAAAGTACATTTTCTAGAAACACAACTGGTTTATTGTGTGAGATTATAAAGGCACTAATGTCCACCATAAGAAAAGCATACGATGCTACTGTTCGGATCAGGCCTGCAGTCACTGACCTCTATAATCACATTTAAAATCTAAAGAGATATTCTGAGTTTTATAGTGAATTTACTTTATAATCTCAAGAACTCTGAGTTTGTCTTTGGAAATGTTCCCTTTTCTGTTTTTTGTTTGTTTTAGAATGGGTCTGATACGCCGTCGTGCTTTTCTGCTGTCATGTGTGAAGCTCTTTGTTCTCCTTGTTTAGAAAAGAGCGACAAGAATAGAGTCGTAATTATATTTTTGTATTATGCACACGAGGTACCTTCCTTTTTTTGAATTACTTTGTGTTGCATTAGAATCATTCATCTTACATCTAAATGTAAACTGAAGCCATCGCTGTCACTTTTTGACACCCAATAAAACTGATTGAAATGCGATGAAATGAAGAAGGTCAGAGTTGAACCCAGGCCGCCGGCCTCGAGGGAAATAGCCTTTTACATGGTTCATAACCACTGGTCTACGCAGCAGCATGCACTGAAAACTAATAAAGTATAAAGTCGGGCGCAGAAGGTAAAGAGAAGTCTTTGTTTAGGATTCATTTAAAATCAAAACATTGTTTTGTTAATTATAGAAACAACACAACAATGTTTAATATATGCAACTTTATTCTTTCAGCTCGTCAGTTCAACATACATTTTTTTTTATTGCATTTACTTTAAAAAAACAATATTTTTTACAGGCGCACTGTGAACTAGCTAAAATGTAAAATCACTATATTTTAAATACATGAGATCTTTAGTAACTTTCTCCTAAATTTGTGATTCTGTATTGATTTGTTAAAAACATTTTATTGTAAATTAGCAGAAAAAAAGCAATCTATGTAAAGTCCCTACCAAAACAAAAATATTTTAAATCCTCCATAAACGAGAAAATAAAATAAGAAAAGCACACAGCATGTTTTGTGTATCTTTCAGCTTCAGCTCTCCATCGATGAAGCTGCTATGTCATGTTTTGTTTCTACATGTAAACAAGAGTATCATCAGCGTAGAGCTCTACATAAAACACTGACCCCACCGTTTAAAGGGTCAACAGTGAACCTGCAGACAAATCAACACACTGAATTTTTACAAGTTTACTTTTCTTTGTGAGCTTTTTGTTCCTGGTCAATGTGTGTGCTTGTATTCATATCTTCCTGTACATTTTATTCTCTGAGGTGTGTGAAACTATAAAGAGAGCTTGTTACGAGAGACTGAGGGCCTGATTAATTAAGAAAGCATCTTAGCCGCTAATAGCTCTAAACATTGCACATCATTTGCTAAAGTATTATACAAAACAATAACATTTACTGTATATAATATAGGGTTTGTTTTACACTGCTGCAAAATGTTGTTTGATCATAATTGCATATATTTAGTCATAATTGACATTTTTAAATTCATCTTAGCGATAAAGGAGATACATTTATGAGATGTTTGAGGACGGTCAGCAGGAAGAGTCCACAGCAGTACACCAGACTCTTCACTGTCAGCACTGTGTAGAGCAGCAAGAGCAGCTTCACCTTGTATGGAGACGGGACAGAGGGATCCGCTGCAGGTGATGGAACAGAAAAAGAATAAAATCATCAACAACGTCAGTCCTCTGTTTTTCTTTCTTTTAACAGAATCACTAAATGAAGATGAATCTACGCTGCATAAAGTCACCAAAACCTTCATTACCTGTATCTATCAGAGCCTCCACTGTTCCCCCCTCGTGCTGCACGTAGCAGCTGTATTCATAGCTGAACTTTGTCTGATAGATCTGTAAGACGGAGGCAGTACATCCAGACTCTCTGAGCTCCAGCTGCTGTCCGTCAGCAGAGGGCAGCTCCTCTAAACATCCGCTCTCCGTTTGTCGTCTCCAGGAGATTCTGACCACAGGAGGAAACATGGCTGAGGCCAAACACAGCAGGGAGCTCTTCTCCTCCAGCCGGCCTCTGGATGCTGCCGGGTACACGCTCACCACGGGCTTCACCACCTGCTCCTCGTCTTTGAAAGAGAAACAAGTAACACACACAGAGTCAGCAGCATTAACGACATTCAGTCTGATCCTAAACCTACATGAACTCTGGTCTCTAAAACACTCATGACTACAGCTCAGTAAAAATTAAGACACATTAATCATATCATCTCTATTATGGTAAATACATGAATCTGTTTATTAAAATAGCAGGTGTTGTCACAATAACATTTTACAGTTTAAAACATTTAAGTGAAATTAAATCCATAAGAATAAAAACAAAGTAGGATTACAGCAGCAATAGAATATCATTTTATACTTTGTTATATTTTGTATTTATACATTAATTATATTTTATCATGCAGTTTATAATTTCATTAAAATATATTTCCATACAATTTAAACAACTCTTATCTTTATCGGGGTTTGCATATAATCATGAATTACATATTAACCTTCAAGAAAACTCTTTAATCATTTTGAATAAATTAAAAACTAAATATATGAATATATTTAAAACCATGTTGTTTACTCTAATTAATACAGATAAATAAAATCCACACAACAGTTATTTCAGGGTGTTTGTTATTTATTAAATATTCAGTGTTATGTTTAGAAATGTCAAATAAGGTCAAACTTGATTTACAAACTGAAGACAAAGGTTTCATAAATCCCCGAGAAGTCTTTTTCTTCTAATGTGGCTTTCTAAGTCGTTAAAGATCAGAAACTCTTTGGAGTCGCCTCGTCAGTCGCACTTCTTGTCCTTAAACCTTGTTAGTTATTTTTAATGAACCTCTTATTGAGCCTCCAACTCTTTAAAGTGTACATTTAATATGGCCTTGAACCCTGATTACATTTAAAATATCATTTAAATATCTGTTTGAAGACACCATCAAATCAAATATAATTATTGTGAGCTTTATTTTACAGGTTTTTATTTCAGGATCATTCAAATGTTCTTTAAGATAAAGATAAGATAAGATATACTTTATTCATCCCAGCAGGGAAATTTAGGTGTTCCAGCAGCCAGCATACATACAAACACACAACACAACACATATATACATACATATCCCACCCATACAAAAAAAACATGAGCCCACAATACAGTTTGATATATGATATATGCAACTCAGGCTAAAGTTTAAAAGTTTAAATGTCTTCTGTCCTTCCTTAAAGGGGAGTCGTTATAAAGTGTAAAATTTATCGTTTTATTGGCGTTATAAATTTACAACATATGAAACAGAATAACTTCCTTAACTTTATTTATGTGTTGAGATTTCAACATCTTAGAGGTAACATCTTTTCATGTCTCAATAGCTGCACGCCTTAAAAAAAATCTCCTCTTATTATAAAACTTTAATATTTAATGACTCAAACAGGAAAAGGTAATTAAAGTTACATTTCAGACGACTGAAGAAAATCAAAGTTTATTCTTACCTGAAACAAAGAGTCTAGTTCCAGAGCCAAAGATCAGGATCAAATTACTCCCCCACAGTGAAAAGACATGATACAAAAACCTGTCTGCTGGTGAACTACACAAATCATGAACCAGGATCAAACCTCAAACACATTTCTACTTCAGCGTCTCTTCCTCTTTTTCTTCCTCTCAGAATGTTTCTCCTTTAACGGTGATGTCTGTTGTTTCATTTGTTAAGTCCACAATGTTTGAACTGGAGCTGAAGGATGGATGAATGGACTGGTTTGAAGTGTGGTACAGACCTTCTTGGTCCCCTGAGGAGGAAATAAATTAATTCACTTTGTTGATCGAGCACTGGGGATGAACTGAGCTCTCTGTTCTTTTGCTAGTTTCATTGATGATCTCATGATAGAAAGCTGTGTTCTCACTTCACTTTGCCATCGAGCACACTGATATTAATACAGACTGTCCAGTGTTTATTACCCACGTAGTACAAAATGTAGTTATTTGATCCAGCAGAGTTTTTTCTTATCTCACCACAGCAGAATATTGTTCATTTAGAGACGCTGTAATAGAGATGATGCTGGACCTATAGCTCAGATCAGCAGAATTATGCTTGATTCCTCACATACATTGGATATTTTCTGAAACTCAACATTTTCTGAGACCAGGGGCGTCACTAGGTTTAAAGGACAGGGGAGGCTTAGCCCCCAAGAGATGCATAGGATGTGAGCGAACGTAGCGCTCGAGCACAAATTTTCACAAACAGCTAACAAAGACTGAGAAATTATTTATTATTATTATTTCAGTCTGTTTTTTGAATACAGTACAAGAACAAACACAGGTTTGCACAGTAACAGTATGTTTACAGCATTAACAATAAAAGTAAGCCAAGTACACCATTTTTAAATAACATGGCTACAACTGCGAGTTACTTAGTGGGTGGAAGCATCAAAGAATGCAGTCTGTTTTTAAGGGTGGCAAATCGGTCTATCACTCTGTTGTGACTCATGCTGAAGCGTGTCTTTTTCAATTGACATGACTGCAAGACTGTTAAGTCTTTTCTGACCCATTGTTTGATGCAGCCAGGAGTGCAGCAGATGCAGTGCACTAAAGGACCTTTCACATGAGCAGCTGCTAACAGGCACTGTTAGGGAAACTTGTATGGTTGCCTTCAGAGAGGGAAACATGTCTGAATCAAGGAGGTTGTGCACAGACAACATATCTTTGGGTGAACATCCAGCCTCTGTTTTCCGGGCAAGAAAGTTTCTGGCCACCAGAACCTCCTCTGTTTTCAGGTCAATGCTGTAGTGTTTTGCAAGTTCATTCAAGTGTGATTCACTCAAGAAGTTCTCACATTTAGGACTGCATGCCTGGATGCCTTTTAGGAGCCCTGCATCTACACTGCAAAATCTTTGCTCAAGCTCGCCAACCATCCTCTCCACACAAGGGAAAAGTAACTCTCTTCTCAATGTGTCTGAGTTGTTCAATTCAGTGCATGAACCTGCAGTTGCCTCCAGCACAAAATCCTCCATTTTCCTCTGTTTATTCCTTGTCTTGGCACCTGGTTCAGGGATACTGTGGGTGTGGCACAGGGCTTTGGTTCTCTCATACAGCTCTGTGGCAAATGCATCTGTGTGTGTGTCACACACTGCTTGTTTGCAGATCAAAGCCTCTACCAGGTCTAAAGTCTCTTTCTGAAGGAGCTTGTGGAGTCCTTCAGTTACAGACAGAAGTGACTGAAACATCAGTAGTGCATAGACTGCTGAGAACTTATAGAGCTTTGCTCTGAGACCAACAGCTATGAGGGATCCAATGGCAGAAAGGCACTCCAAAATGGCAGACAATGTCTCAAGAACTGCACTGATTGATCGCAACTGACATGCCCAGCAAGTGTTTGAAAGTTGCATAAGCTCAATTGTTGTCAATCCAAGCCTTGTGTGAGCCTCCATGAACTTATGATGACTCACTAGGGAGGTGCTGAAGAAAGAGTACACACACTCCAACAAGCTGAAAAGCTCCACAGCCTCTGGGATGGCCTTGCAAGTGTGGCACAACACCAGGTTAAGTTCATGAGCATAACAATGCACATAGATAGCTTCAGGATGGAGCCTTCTAAAATGTGCTTGTACACCTCCAGTGGACCCACTCATGGCGGCTGCACCATCATATGTTTGTGCTACACACTTAAGCTTTGCAAGACCATTGTTTTGGATCTGCTGCTGCAGCTCATTTGCAATGGACTGGGCATCAAATGATTTTATCTCTGCAAGTGCTAGGAAACGTTCTTTCACTGCCCCCTCTGACACATACCTGACACAAACAGCTAACTGCTCTGATTTTTCATCCCTTGCCTCATCTGCCATGATGGCATAGATTTTGGACTTTGTCATTTCAGACACAATGACACTAATAACTTCCTGGGCACAACAGTCAATCATGTCATTCTGGGATGTTGGTGAGATATAATGAGCATTTGATGCACGCAAGAAAATTCCCTCCGTTTGTGCTGTCTCTACCTTCATCATGGCCATGAAAAGGGAGTCCCTGTCTCCTTAACATAGACGTGACTGCAACAATTCACCTGAGATCAGGCATGGACAGGCCATCGGGCGTACTGGGCAATGCCTGGTGTGCCGGCCCGGGGCTGTCATAATTTAATTAAAAGAGTATATTATTTTTTATCGACCACGACGGTATTTGAGACACGAAACACGGCCCATTGGTTGATTTTCTTGAAGGACATTGGGCTAGTCCAATGAAATCTCTCAGCCCTCCTCGGCCCGCCCCTCCCCAAGGTTATCAAATTTTGCCATTAAGCTGACCGGAGTTGGAGAGAAGTGAGAGTGAGTGAGTGTGAAATGGATAAGAAACAACAAAAGCACAAGGGGGGCGCAGAGAAGCTCAGAGAAAAAAGGCTAAAAAGCCTACAAGTGGACGCAGCAAAATGTGTCAAAATCACTAATATGTTTGCAAGTTCGACTGCAGCAGCGAATGCAGGGCCATCGACATGTGCAGAAGCAGTCCCATCGAGTGCACAGGTGGATTCAGAGGAGGAGGAGGAGGAGGAGGAGAGAGACGTGACCCAGCAGCAGCAGGGACAGATTGAGGAGGAGGAGGTCAGAATAGCTTCTGTCAGCCCGGTAAGAAGTAGCCGAAATGTTAGCAGAATGAAAAGAGATGTCTCATGTAGGGAGGGCGGAGGGCTGATGGGAATTGTGGCACTGTGGCCATCTCTCCCAAGATGAAAGTCTCTGTGAGTAGTGAAAGACCGTATCAATTTTTTGAGATGGTTACTCTCTTCCATGTAGACTACTGCGCTTTATTTGAATTTTTTAAACAACACAATGTGCGCATATATCCTCTGGCAGAGGTGTAGTCTTAGACTTAGACTTAGACTTTCTTTATTGTCATTCAAACTTGTACTTTACAATGCAGATAAGAACGAAAGTTTGTTGCATTTGGCTCGTTGTAGTGCTAAAGGATAAAAACAGAGCAAGTATTTACATAGAAAAATAAGGTGCAGATATAAATAGATATAAAAGAAAAGCTATGAGTAACAGTACTATACAGATAAATATATTGCACGTTTGTGATGTATGTTATATTGTATTTTACAGTCCAGTGAGGTAGTCCTGTGTGGGGGTTTGAGGGGGAATGGAGGGATTATTTTTTTGTGTTCAAAAGTCTTATGGCCTGTGGGAAGAAGCTGTTACAGAACCTGGAAGTTCTGCTTCGGAGGCTGCGGAACCTCTTTCCAGATTCCAGCAGTGAAAACAGTCCTTGGTGGGGGTGGGAGGTGTCTCTGCTGATTTTCTGAGCCCTGGTCAGACAGCAGATTTTAGCAATCTCATGGATGGGAGGAAGTGGAGTCTTAATGATTTTTTCTGCCGTCCTCACCACTCTCTGCAGGGACTTCCAGTCGGAGGCACTGCAGGCTCCGGACCAGACAGAGATGCAGTTTGTTATGATGCTCTCTATAGTGCCTCTGTAAAAGGTGGTGAGAATAGGAGGAGGGAGGTGTGCCGCAGAAAGTGCATGCGCTGCTGCGCTCTTTTCACAAGAGCTCCGGTGTGAAGGGACCAGGTCACAGTGTCTGTTATCTGCACCCCCAGGAACTTTGTGCTGCTTACTCTCTCCACTGCTGTGCTGTTGATGAGGAGTGGTGTGTGGCTGGGCTGGCGCCTCCTGAAGTCGACGATGATCTCTTTGGTTTTATCGACGTTCAGGGTCAGGTTGTTGGTTCTGCACCAGTCAACCAGATGTTTCACCTCCTCTCTGTAGTCCATGTCGTTGTTATCACGGATGAGGCCCACTACTGTTGTGTCGTCTGCAAACTTCACGATGTGGTTAGTAGTGGTCCTGGCGCAGCAGTCATGGGTCATCAGGGTGAACAGCAGCGGACTCAGGACGCAGCCCTGAGGGGAGCCGGTGCTCAGGGAGATGACACTGGAGGTGTTGTTGCCCACCCGCACAGACTGGGGTCTGTTTGTGAGGAAGTCAAGCAGCCAGTTACATAGGGGGGTGCTGAAACCAAGGGGGGCCAGTTTGCTCACCAGATGCTGCGGGATGATTGTATTGAACGCTGAGCTGAAGTCCAGAAAAAACATCCGCACATGTGTGTCCTTCTCTTCCAGATGTTGTAAGCCCAGGTGGAGTGCAGAGGAGATGGCATCCTCTGTGGAGCGGTTAGGGCGGTAAGCAAACTGGTACGGGTCGAATGTGGGGGGAAGTCTGGAGACAATGTGGTCCTTTACCAGCCTCTCAAAGCACTTCATCATAATGGGGGTTAGTGCTACAGGGCGGTAGTCATTGAGTGAGCAGATTGTGGATTTTTTAGGCACTGGTATAATTGTAGCAGTCTTTAAACATGATGGTACCACAGCCTGGATCAGCGAGGTGTTGAAGATGTCTGTGAGAACCCCAGCCAGCTGGTCAGCACATTCCTTAAGCACCCGTCCCGGTATGTGGTCAGGGCCCGCTGCTTTCCGGGTGTTCACTCTCCTCAGGGTTCTCCGGACATCAGCTGTGTCCAGGCTGATTGGCTGCTCATCGGAGCGAGGAATAGATTTCCTCGCTGGAGTGGTGTTGAGTGCCTCAAACCTTGCAAAGTAGTTGTTGAGGTCGTTGAGGTCGTTGATGTTGTTGTCACAGGGGGGAGTAGCTTTATAGTCTGTGATGACTTGTATGCCCTGCCACATTCGTCTGGTGTTCGTGGGGTCCTTGAAGAAGTCCTGCACTTTCTGACTGTGAGCATGCTTTGCAACTTTTATGGCACGGTTCAGGTTGGATGTGGCTGTTTTTAGTGCCACCATGTCGCCAGATCGCATACATCCTCTGGCAGAGGTGTAAAGAGTACTAATATATTCTACTCAAGTAAAAGTACTGTTACTTTGATAAAATTACAAGTAAAAGTACCAGTTTAAAAATGTACTCAAGTAAAAGTAAAAAGTAACTCGTTTAAAATGTACTTTAAGTAAAAGTTACTTAGTTACTTTTTTTAAAAAGTCGTGAAAAAAGGATGAGAGGATATTAATCTCAAAGTTTTTTTAATTAAAGGAAAATCTTTACAAAGATTTATCTTTTTAGATAAACATTTTATTTTCTACCCCATTGACAAAAACAAAATATACATAATGATGAAAAAATAATCAAGGGTTATATGTTCAAGTAATCAGCTGTTTTATGAAGGGAAATGTTTAAAGGCTTTATATGCGATCTTTTGATCCAGCAGATGTCGCCCTTGAGCACCAGCATGAAACCAAAACAACTCACGCTGCATTGTTGTGTTAGCATGCTAATGCTAGCGATCTTTATTATGCTCGTATCTTCACACTGCATGTAAATTTACCTGAAATGAGCGTGATCTAGAAACACAGTTAAGCAGTGAGTACAGTATGTTATTCTTCTTTTCTCTAGTCCCTCAATTAAACAACTTTTATACACGAGGGGAGGAGTCAGCCGGCCGTCCCGGCGATGTAAACAAAGTGAAGATAGGACTCTGAAAACTTCACAGACAGTGGGACTCGGGTGTTACACCCATTGTAGACAGTCATGACTCACAGAGTTATTTTCAGAGGAGATACTTGATTTCTATTTAAGTGTGAAAAATCACATATTAAGCCTTTAAACTATTTAAGAAAATACTAAAAGGATCTTTGTCTCAATCATAAAAAGTGTAAAGAGTATTTTAGTGTTTTTAGTTTTATTATTCTGAGGCTGCTTAGTCTCAAAGACAGCCTCAAAGGCTGAAACTAAACCTGAGATGAAAGATAATCCATTTATTGTTTTAAAATGAGCCTGTATGAGCTGAAATATGAAATGTTTTAGTTACGGTTTGTTTATGTGTTTATCGCGCAGAGCTTTCTCGGAGCTGCAGCGGCGATTGTAGTCGCGAACGCTGCAGTGAGAAAAACCATCCTCAGTCACTTTCTTTGTCTTTGTAAGAACCACAGCCAACTTATTTGAATAAGTTCTTTGGTAATTTGATTTAAATTTAATGTAGTTTATTGGTTGATGTTTTCACTTTAAGTTAATTGTTAGTGTGTGTTTGTGTTTGTGTTTTTTCTTTTTCTCTCCTGCCGGTGTCTCTCCGGTCGGCGTCTTCAGTCTGTGTGCTCCTTTCAGGGTGTGTAGAGGCGTCAGGCAGGGCTGTGCTCTGTCCGGCATGCTTTACACACTCTCCCTGGAACCCCTCCTTAACAATTCCACTTACAGGGCTTGGTTTTACCTGGTTTTAATAGCAACATTGTCTTAAGTGCCTATGTCGATGACATTGTTGTTTTTATAAAAAACCAGAGGGATGCAGATATTTTAACCAACATTATAAAACACTTTAGCGTAACATCGGCAGTGAGGGTGAATTGGATAAAAAGTGAAGCCCTCGCTGTCGGTGAGTGGCGTGACGGTCTCCCAGTTCTTCCCCAGAGCTTGGCCTGGAAAACAGATGGTTTTAAGTACCTGGGGGTGTTCCTCGGAAAAGAACAGATAGTCCAGAAGAACTGGGAGGCGTCACAGAGAAAATTGAGGGGAAACTTTCCAAGTGGAAATGGCTGCTCCCTCAAATGTCTTTTAAAGGTAGAGTATTGGTTTTAAACAACCTTGTAGCATCCCAACTGTGGCACCGTTTAACCTGTGTAGACCCCCCTTCAGGCTTGCTAGCCCAGTTACAAAGGAAAATGGTAGATTTTTTTTGGGATGGTCTACACTGGGTGCCACAAGGGGTGCTGTTTTTAACCAGAGAGGAGGGGGGACAGGGCCTCGTCCACCTGGCCAGCCGGACAGCCACCTTCAGACTACAGTTCTTACAAAAATATCTGACAGGTCCGGCTGATCTAGTGTGGAGAGATGTGGCCAGCTGCATTCTCAGACGTGCAGATTTCCTGGGGCTGGATGCTGCTCTGTTTTGAATTGATTCTAAACTTTTAAAATGAAGTGGGCTGCCTCCGTTTTATCAGGGTGTTTTTAAGTCTTGGGCCCTTTTTAACTGTAAAAGGTGCCCAAAGTCTGACTCTCTGTACTGGTTGTTGAGAGAACCATTGATTCACAGGGCCAAGCTGGACATCAGCAGCAGCGTCACCCCCGGCCTGACGATGGCGCTGCTTAAAAC